GTTACCGCGGGGACGCACGACACCCAGGCTCGAGCGTATTAACAAAACATACGTTCTCAAATAAACAAAATAGATCAGTTAATTCTTTCTGCTTGCTCCTTGAAATAAGATTATTCCTTGGGATAGTATCGACTTCGCATATGGAACAGGGACCCAAAAGTACGGAATAAGAAGAACGTTACGGATCGAGATCAATATATATTTTTAAATTACTTCGCCGACACCATTTATACAGTATTAATATTCGACTTATTCACGCGACGTTTAGACCAAGAGTGAGTGTGAGTAGTCTTGCTTTTCGCCGGCAACCCCTTGCGGTCTGGGAGAGCAAGGGGGAGCCGCCACAGGTAAGGCCGACGCTTATTGGCCATCGAACGATGTATAGTCACCGCGGCACAGCCGTCGAGGTTTGTTCGGTAATAATCTTATTGAACTTAACGCTAAGTTGCCTTATTTTAACGTGAGAATTTAGGATGCGAGACGTTGGGCTCAATCTCCTGTCACAGATTAAACCCAACTTTATACGCGATTATAAAGGTCTATATGCGAAGTCCATATATGGACCATGTAGCCTGAACTCCTAAAATCAACATCGATTTGACATTGCGTCGATTGTTGAAACCCCACTTGTGCTACTAAACTAATCATCTATCAATTCATAAAAAGATTAAATTTAAAATTAAAAAAAGGTGTGCAAATTAGAAACTTGCACATTGCTTCCTCCTCATTACAGATCGCTACCATTACTCCTATTTTATTTTGCTCATAAAACTTCTTCTATGAAAAAGCCAAACTAATAAATACTAATAACTATGCATCGAATAAAATATAAGCTTCCTCATAAGAGGAGCTTTGTGAGCGAAATATTCATTATTGTTTACCAGTCTTTGTGTTATCTTAACTTATCACATTAAAAATGATAACAGACCAAAACGTTCGTTAAAATGTTATTTATTTAAAAGTTCCAACACGAACACGCTGTTGTGGCTCTGTTATGTCTTTCTTTTTACGTGTTTATTTCTAATCAATTAAATTTTCAGACATTAAAAGAAGACAGCAGAAGGAAACGGAACTTGCTGAAACTGGCTAATTATTTCGTCAGTCAATAATGATCACTATTATACTGCTATTACTTACCCTTATTCTACTGATATCTAATTACTATGTGCATTATCATGGAAGAAAGGGGCGTCTTATCAATCTTATACCAGGACCATCAGGTTATCCGATCGTTGGAAATGCATTTCAATATCTTGTTTCACGAGGTATGTTATAACTTCACATACAATATTCTCGTAAATAAATATTCACTTGTGCACACAAATTTTTAAATATAATATTTGCAAACATTTTTCTCTGATATATAATTATTGATATTATTGCACATTAACTATTTTTAAGAATTATTAAGCTTATAGGTAAATATTCTTAAGCAATAACATTTATTTTCTGATTATTGAAGTTATTTGAGGAACAATGAAATATCTAAGTACATCATATATATATATATATATATATATATATATATATATATATATATATATAAGTTCCTGGTCTGTTTGTCAGACTGCGAACTACTCATTCGTTAATGGACCGAAGCTCAAAGAATTGTATATAAAGCAGGGGTAGAATTTTTTGGAGATTGCTATGATGCGTATAATTTTTTGTTACCGATTTTTTTGGAAACCGGTTCAGAAATTTTACCAATATAACCAATCAGCATCAAGAAATGTGAGCGTGTGAATGCAGTTGCATTGACTAGAGCGGTATAAACGCATTTTGAGGGACAAACTGGCTTTGCGTGTCAGTGTTCGTGTGACTAAAATCTGAACTTTTTGCCGAGATGTCGCCGAAAAAATTCACTTTTTGACATGTTAGATTTCGAGATCTTATTATTGACTGCACCAATCTTAATCAAATTGGTCGCAATCGAAAGTTCGTATCAACGTTATATTACGGAAAACTGTCGTCAGATTTTTGATCGCAGTTTTCTTTCTTGAGATATTTCATTCGGAAAATCGATCGGCCCGAAAACTCCGGATAAGCTACTTGGTAGCGTCGTCTGCTAACTCTCTTTTTATGTACTTTGGCGTCGCGACGCTACCGCGTCGCTTGATGTAAGTTTTCGGGAAGCAATAAGTACCTAATGTCCGACAGCGAGCTGCTTATTCATTAATGAACCGATTTTTTTAAAACCGGTGCAAAAATTTTTCTAATTTTTTGGAGACGGACCGAATCTTAAAGAGTTATATATATAAAGTAAGGGTAGAATTTTCCGACGATTGCCATGATGTGTATAATTTTTTGTTTCCGATTTTTTGGAAACCGATACCGAAATTTGTCTAATTTTTTGGGAAATAATACGTAATTTTTCGGGAAATAATAAGTATCTAATGTCCGACCCCGAACTACTTATTCATTAATCGATTTTCTTGATACCACGAGTTTAATTTTTCATTAATGTACCGATTTTCTTGAAACTGGTGCCAAATTTTTCTAATTAAACGGGGATGGGTTTAATTTCTTATTAATGGACCTGACGTCTGTCTGTCTGTCTGTATGTCCATCTGTCTGTCTGACCGCGAATTACTTATTCGTTATGGACCGAATCTTAAAGAATTATACATGAAACAGGGGTAGAATTTTCCGGGGATGGCGGTGATGTGTATTATTTTTTGTTACCGATTTTTTGGAAACCGGTTTCAAAATTTTTCTAATTTTTCGGGAAATAAAAAGTATTAATGGATCGATTTTTTTGAAACCAGTGCTAAAATTTTTCAATTTTTTGAGGATAAGTTTAATCTTCCATTAATGGATAATTTTTCATTAATGGATCGATTTTTTTGAAACCAGTGCCAAAATTTTTTTAATTTTTTGGGAATGGCGATGATGTGCAAAATTTTTCATACGGGTTTAATTTTTCATTAAAGTACCGATTTTTTGTAAACTGCAGGTGCTAAAATTTTTTTGACTGTGAACTATTTATTCAATTAATGGACCGATTTTCTTCAAAACGGTGCCAAAATTTTTCTAATTTTTCGGGAATGGCGATGATGTAAATAATTTTTTATAACCAATTTTTTGGAAACCGGTTCCAAAATTTTTCTAATTTTTCGGGGATGGCGACGATAAGTTTAATTTTTTAGTCATGGACGTTAATGGCGATGCAAGCCTGGCATAACCCTAGGGTATGCATTATAGGCATTTTCTCCTTTAACGAGAAACAAAATTAGAACACACAGGCATTTATGATGTGGAAAAATTGAAACTTCTTTAAAGTAAAAAACAATGTATAAATTTTTATCAAAATGGGAATAAATAAAAGGGTCGTACTACCTGACTTGAGTGCCAAAATACAACGCGATACAGAATTAGAAAAAATAATTTAAAAAATGAAAGTGAGCCAAAAATGGCGGATCAGCGGAGGGTACATCCGCGCGATGCGCGGTAAAAATAAATATATATCTCTATATATAATACATAAATTTAAGAAAGGAAAATATAACTTAAAATGGAGAAAAAATTGTTTACAAGAAAAAAAAGTAAGAACAAAGAGGGTTTAGGGAAGGGATCTAGACTTAAAAAAAGGAAAAGGTTTAAATAAGCTTGCACGAAACGCGGGTGAAAAACCTAATTAAATATAACGATAAAGTCAATTATACATATTTCGATCAATATTTATTATATTTCTGTGAATTTACATAATAAACATATACATACATCTTTTAGAAGAACAATGGAAGTTACTGGTTACCATAACTGACGAGTTTTATCCCATTTTAAAAATATGGTTATTTTTTTTTCCTATAATATCCGTTCGTCATCCGAATGATTTAGAGGTAAAGTATGAGAGAAATATTATTCTGTTTTTTTATTATTGATATATTGACGATAAGATGTTTATTTGTTTATGTTTTTTTATTTAAAAAAAATATGTTTGTTCGTCAAAAGTCTGTAATAATTGTATATTTAAAATTAAAGATGATTATCTCTTATTCATTCATCTCTCAGAGATAATTGAATATTTAAAACACTTTTGAAATCAATTAATTGATTATTTAAATGGCGTCTAAATTAAATAACATTTAACTTAATATTTTCTGTAATTTTAGACAATATTAAGCAGCACAAAACATATCGAAAAGAGTCTTCTTTATGATGTTTTCCATCCGTGGTTGGGTACTGGTCTTCTCACTAGTGGAGGTAACATAACGATATTAATGTAAATAATGGTATTGGGATTTTCAGCCGTAACGTCACGAGGCCAAGATGGCTGGCCTATTCCTGAAAGTATTAGAGCTGTCATATGTAAACACACATAAAGTTTGTGTTTTCCATAAATAATTAATGAAATAACGTGTTTGTGATATAAAAAGTGCGATGAGTGAAAATTTTATTTGTTATTACCCAGATAGCAGACAGTCGTCATAATGACGTGATTCTTACGTCAT